CAAACGTGCAGAAGCGGCGAGTGCGACGCGTGGGCCCTGCGCGATGCACAAGCGGTGCGGAAGCTGCACGACTGTGAGTGGGGCCGGGTGTGCGCAAGCAGCGGGTGACACCCAGCGGGTGACACACACTCGTCGTGTACAGTGTGAGAGAGCAGCGCGGGGTACAACCCACAGGCAGCACAACCGACAGCGCTACAGGCGGTACCTAACACGAGCGACCGCCGCGTGGGTACAACCCACAACCCGTTACACCGTATTAAAACACCCGGACACCGTCTGCAGCCCCAGGGAAACGCAGCGGGAGGGGAACAGCAAAACGGGGTGAAAACGAGTGAAATAAGGGCACAGGGAGACGGGTGAAAACGGCTCCTGGGCCAGCCGGGCTTCCCGCACCAGCGAGGACGTCACCCGGCCGGATTCACAGCATCCCGTTTATCCCTACCGGAAAAAACGGCGGCGGTGACGGGATAGCGGCTGTTTCGGGGCCGATTTCTCCCCGTTCGGAGCAGCGCCGAAGTCGGGCTCAGGAAGAGCCGCCCGAGCCTCCCATTCCCATCTTTGGTTGGATTCGAATCCCCAGGGAGTCACTCCGGGTTCAACCAGGCGCCGGCTTCTTCCACGGCCTTGGGCACGACGAGGAAAACCTCGCAGAGGCCTTGGGAGAGGAAATCGCGGAGGAAGCTCCTGCGAGGTCGGAGAATCACGGAATCGTTACGGGTGGAAAAGACCCTCGGGATCATCGAGTCCAACCACAAACCCCTCCATGCCATCCCATTAAACCACATCCCTAAGAGCCTCATCTGTAGGTTCCGTGGACACTACCAGGGATGGTGACTTCCCTGGACAGCCTGTTCCAAGGCCTCACTCCTCTTTCCATGTAGAATTTCTCCTAATATCCAACCTGATCCTCAACTTGAGGCCTCATCTGCAGGTTCCTTGGACACTACCAGGGATGGTGACTTCCCTGGACAGCCTGTTCCAAGGCCTCACTCCTCTTTCCATGTAGAATTTCTCCTAATATCCAACCTGATCCTCAACTTGAGGCCTCATCTGCAGGTTCCTTGGACACTACCAGGGATGGTGACTTCCCTGGACAGCCTGTTCCAAGGCCTCACTCCTCTTTCCATGTAGAATTTCTCCTAATATCCAACCTGATCCTCAACTTGAGGCCGCTTCCTCTTGTGCCACCCGCAGTTATCCCGGACACCCCCATCTCATCCTCCTTTCCAGGGAGTTGCAGGGAGCAATAAGGTCCCCCCAGAGCCTCCTTTTCTCTTTGCTCCCAGTTGCAGGGAGCGATAAGGTCCCCCCAGAGCCTCCTTTTCTCTTTGCTCCCAGTTGCAGGGAGCGATAAGGTCCCCCCAGAGCCTCCTTTTTTCCTCTTTGCTCCCACCTGAGCTCGTCCTCGCCGCCGATGGGCGCCGGAGCCTTGAGCTTGGAATCCAGGTTGTAGTAGGTGCCGCGGAGCTGCCGCACGGCCAGCCAGTGCTTGCGGCGCACGGGCAGTGACACGAAGCCCAGCGAGACATTGGAGGGCACGTTGAGGATGAAACCCACGATCTGCCCCAGCGCCAGCTGCTCCAGCGGCCTGGGGGGGTAT